ACGTTCACGCATCTTCGCAAACGCAGCATGCCCTGGCGTATCCAAAAATGTCATCTCGCAGTTTTCCCCTTTCACTACAAATACTTCACTCGAAATACCTTTACATTACATCAGTATCAGAACGCCCAACTTTTTTAACAACGTTTTCGACTCCAGCAAATGCAAGAATGGGTTGAATTATGCATTTAGAACAAAAATCCCAGGTAACTCAGGAACAAATGATCAGTTCTAGCTACCTAGGGCATCACAGAGATTTTAGACACCTTTTGAACTTTCGAGTCCCTTATGACAGTCAGCACTACATATGGATAAAGTCCGGTTCTGAAAGTGGGACAATCAATTCTTCTATTCGTTTGTTCGTTTCAAAAAGAAATCGGTAGTGGCATATGTTAGAGAGTCAAACAAGCCAATATTTTGTTTCCAGGCATCAACTGAAAGGAAAAATCATTGGCTGTTTTGCCAATGGGAAGCTGCTGTTGGCATCTGCTGCCACCCAGACTATTTCCCATGTGTCTCCGCGCTCTCATAAAGAATCAATACTGGGGAGGGGTTTGACGCAGGTAAAATCAACAGTAGTAATACGTGCAGGTTAACTAATTCCCTCTAACTCAGATAACCAAAGTTAGCTCAAGAAAGTTTTAAAACCCTTCCGTCACTACATGCTAATAAAGAATTAGTCATCCGTAGCCGGAATGGAAGTGCGTTATGTTAGGAAAAAATAAGTCCATCACAGAGTTTTGAAAATTGCACATACACAGGAGAGGAAGGACCAAGACAGAGTTCTACGATAGAAGACTTGAAAAACTGCAATTCCAAATGCACTATCCAAAATCCCAATCCAGGAAAAAAAAATCTACGAAGCAGAAACATGAGAATCACAAATGGAACATGCGTATATGACATATGCAGTAATTCAGGAAGAAACAGCCGAACGAGGAGGGAAAGAGATGCGACAGAAGCTTCCATGCGTCGAGTTGACAGAAGATTCTTAAAACGCGCCCTAGTGGATATCATGAAAGATGGACTGCACCAATGAGACTAGCTGCATGTTCTCCCCTGTCAACCTACGGTTAAAGTAAAGAAAAAAGCCATCCAGACAATCCTTAAGACTCCGGAGCAACATAATTACTGGCCAGCGCACAGACTGCAAATACGAAGATGTGTTTTTGCACATTCCCCCCACAGGTTTTGTCGGTGACGGCACTTTTTTCTGGCAGATGCTTCTAGCTGAAAGAATTGAGACTGGGCACAATGACCGCCAGAAATTATTGCATTGACTCCCAACCTATACTCAAAAAAATCAGCATTCTAGATGTTTCAGTTGCGGAGCTACGTTAAATTTCACGTGTTGGTAAATGGAAGGGACGTGAATGCCGCTTCTATGTATGCCCGCCCAAACAAAGTCCTGGGTCACGCTCAGAAAACTTCAGCATTCCAACTGCTTTGGTTGCGGAGTCACGTTCGATTTCACGTGTTCGTACGTGAGCAGAACAGAGAAGCTTTTTTTTGTGTGTACCTGCCTAAACACTTTCGAGGAAATTTTAAAAAAACCCCCAATTTAACCTCGACATGTACGTACGTAAAATCTAAGGGTGCATGAAGACTGAATTTAGAATCTTTGGGTTGGGCGAGGGCAAGGAACACCTTCATAAAGTTTCAGCTTTCTAGCTTGTGGAATCCCCGAAATCGCTTTCCCTGCGAAAAACTTTTTGTACTCGTACGTGAGAACCACGTAGACATGAGCGCCCATTTTGAGAATAAGGATCCGAACATGAGTTTAGATCAAGTTGGCAAAATTTCAACCTTGTAGCTTTTGTGAGTCTCAACATGAAAAATTGATACAGACGCACACACAGACAATCCCTCGACGATATGCGTTTTTGCACTGCATAGATGTAAAAAATGCATAAAAAGTAACGCATAGCGCGAATTTTGAGGAAAATCCGCAACACGTATAGAAAAATGAGACAAAATTTCACACGCGTGAATGCGCCGATATGTTGCGTGATACCACCAAATTCGCTTTCAACAATGCGAGAATTCCTCAAGCGATCAAGCAGTGTTGTTTTGCCATGGTCAACGTGCCCCATTATAGTGATTACAGGTGCGCGACGCTTCAGTTCAGCTTCGGGTGCAGGCGGCCTGAAACATTTGCCGGTCAGATGCTGCCATGTTAGCAACAGCAAACGTCGTTTTGTAAGTTGCAAAGCCGACACACCACCTCGGCACTGTTGAAGTGTGCAATGATTCAACAAATTAAATACACTGAAGCGTATTAACAACATAGCGCTATTGTTTTTCAGAAACAAAGTAACGAAATGCTCCACGCCTTCTAATCGTGCTTGTTATTTACACACAAAATATTTATTTATAACTAGCAGTTTAATTTCGGGATCCGTTCGCAGCACTTTGGAGAAGCAGGACAGCGGCGGCAAGATTCTGGACCTCGGCAGCGCAACTTCAGATATTTATTATTGACAAGTTTCCGACGTTCAGGAAGCATTAGGAACAATGTGAAATGTCTATCAATGACTATACCTGCGGAATTTCCAACAGCTCTTCCAAATTTTCAAAGACGGATCAAAAGTACTGACCACTGAAAAGCCGACTGCCGGGTGATGCAACACTGGTTAAAGCAACTTAAGGGAGTAGAAAAGTTGCCAGCTGCACAGATGAAAAAACCAGTCCATAAATCAAGAAGTTTCGAGTATTAGCGATAGAGTAAGTTAAATTAGCAACGGATAAAACACAAAGAGCAATAAGTAGTGAACGAAACGCAACCAGAAGAGGTGAAAAAGAGCAAGAAGATAGTGCAAATACAGAAACAGATCCTAAGAGGTTTGGAATAATTAATTGCAGGTTTCTTTTGTGTGCGTGCGTGTGTGTGTGTGTGTGTGCGTGTGTGTGTGTGTGTGTACGCATATATGTATTATAAGAAATATATCTCGTTGTTGGTGTAATAAGTAAGCTAATAATTATTTATATTCACATAAGTACATTTTATATATACATATATGTTTACTGACATTAATAACTGGAGTTTCTCATTCAAAAAAGCGTCTTAACTAATGACGCCCTAATGCCTTAAACGCGCATTCCGCTGGATTTAATACGATAAACACGGAAACGTAAAGATTTA